AGAGCTTTCCCAGAAACTGGTGTGTATCTGCCACACATCAGCAGAAAAGAGGTTTATACTAACTCAGAGATACCAAGAGAAGAGGTAAGTGTGAAAGGACTTTACCTTCTCCTTCTTGGACAGGAAGAACAAGACATCCTCATAGATCTCCAGCCGGTCACGCTCCGAGATGGCATTCCACACCTCCATCTCCCCAAACATCTGTTCAGCTTTCCTGTGTCAAACAGAGACCACACAATCATCTCCGGGGCCTCAGCTGCCCCAGCAGCTCACAGGAACATCAGTGAAACTCTGGGACAAGTAGAAACACTTCTGTAGGACACTTCACTCATCCTCCCTCCTGGGAAAAGTTTTCTGTGAGTTTTCTCTCTCAGGAGGGAAGGAAATGGTCACCAATGCAAGCTGGTGCCACTCCACACCCCACGGGCCCTTCTGCTGAGGCTCAGCTCACTGCTGTGCTGCCTCTTACTTGTATCTGGTGGTGGATGTCATCTTCTCATGGTTCTCCAGGAAGCGCTGGAAGGATTCCTTAGCTTCCTTGTACTTGGATCTTGCCTCTTCCTTCTCTTCCTTCTCTGTCTGAACTTTGTAGGCGTTGAAGGCTTGTTTTTTCTCACTCAGTTTTGCCAAAGCACTTCAGGGCAGAGAGGAACAACAATGTCAGTTAGACACGAAGGGATGAAATGAGAAACGGCCGAAGAATCAAAGGCAAGAGATGGGAACAATCCAAGTATAACCCACGTATCTGTTATCCCTGATTCCCCCTCGGAATTGAACCAGCAATAAATCCAGGCACCAACACAACAGTCAATGACAAGACACTGCAACTCTACTTTCATCACACCTATCAACCACTTTTCTGCCCACACTTAGGGCAAACACTCCAGGAAGACACCTAGAGAGTGCTCAGCTCCAGGACTGGAAATACCTGCTTCACTTCCAGAAAATAATATAACCAGCACAAAATGCCACCTAAAACATCTTTTCCAAAGCAAAATTAAGCTCTGGCCTTGCATTTCTTCACACAGGGAAGGAACAAAGCTCCCTGGCAATGCCACAGGCTCACAAGTATCTACCAGACCAATCCCAAGTTGTGTCAGTAGAGTCAAACCAGCTGAAAAGGTGTTTGTGTGGAATTTAAGGAGGGAAGAATCCAGCAGTACCTGTATCTGGGATCGTTAATGATCATCTTCATTGCCTGCTCCCAGGAAGCATTGGATGGAACTCGCTGCAGAGACATTAAATCAGGAACTAATTACACTTGGGATCAACATCCAACCATGAAAAATTCCTTTAAAGTAGCAGTAAAAAAACCAAAGAGCATTAAGGCTAAGACAACATTTTGCAACAGTTTTCTCTCACTGTGGTTTTCTTTTCCCTCATTCCCACAGGAGTGAGAAATCCTCCATCAAAAGCAAAGTCACTTCTGCCAGATTCAGGTTCTGCAGTGCCATAAACATCAACTGTTGAGCAAAATACCTTTTCCTTTAACAGCTCTTTGAAGGCTTGTTTTGCCTCTTCCTTCGTGTTCCAGGTGTAGGTTTTCTTCACTGGTTGGGCATCCTCCTCCTCCTTCTTTGAGGCAGCACTGAAAAGAGAAATCAGGAGTTTTGTTTCATTTTTCCCTAAATTTGAGCCACTTAAGAGTCATAAACCACCAGGACCAGAGTGAGCCACTCTGTAAAAAACCCATGCTAAACAAAGTAACCTGATAAACATCTCAGTTTGGACAAGACTTTCCTACAGAACCACAGGATACACAAAAAGCAGCTACTTCATGGAAGTATTTCCCTTAGCTTCCTGCTAAGTGACCTGAAATGATCCATAGGATGGAAAGAGGAGCCTCAAATCTGCCCCTTGGCCTTAATTCTCTCCTGCTGTGCCTGAGCCCCCACAGCGTTTCTGTGTTGGAATGACACAAGCTCTGACTCTCCACATCATCAGTTCCTCATTTCTGCAGGAACAGGTCAGGATTCCTGGAGTATTGTGTGTTTCTTCTGACCATGCCCACCTGCAGAGCAACGTGGAACAGGAACACACTGGGGCACCACACAGTGCTACCCAGGGAAGTTCTACATGAAGGTTTCGCACATGACATGTCACTGATGCTCCCAGAGGGTCTCAGAGGTTTGGGAGGAGGCTGGCAAGGGAAGGGAATTTTTCTACAAACAGATTGAATACTTCTGTTATTCTTATTCTTTGCTGGGATTGATTCCTGGTCACATGTTCCTGTCACAGGAGCCTGAGCACTCTCAGCTGAAGGCAAAGCAGATGCAGAACTGCAGCAAAGCCTTGTGGCTTCAGACTTCATCCCAGAACGGTTTGGGTTGGGAGGGACACGAAGGATTATCCTGTTCCACCCTATGCCAGGAGCAGGGACACCTCCCACCAGCCCAGGGTGCTCCAAGCCCCATCCAGCCTGGCCTGCCCTCTTGTCCTGCTGCTGGTTGCCTGGGAGCAGAGACCAACCCCCACCTGGCTCCAACCTCCTGTCAGGGAGTTGCAGAGGGTGAGAAGGTCTCCCCTGAGCCTCCTCTTCTCCAGGCTGAACCCCCCCAGCTCCCTCAGCCTCTCCTCATGGCACTTGTGCTCCAGTCCCTTCCCCAGCCTCACTGCTCTTCTCTGGACCTGCTCCAGCCCCTCAATGTCCCTCCTGAGCTGAGGGGCCCAGAACTGAGCACAGGATTCAATCCAACCCATTCCCCCGAGCTCATCCTACAACTCCACTTACTCTGCTGAGCCCTCCTGCTTGGCAGAGTCCTCGGTGGCGCCGGCAGTGTCGGCACTGCCCTCCTGGGCCCCAGGGGCAGAGCTGCCCTGTCCCTGCTCCTCAGCTGAGGCTGCTGCAGCACCCTCAGTGTCCCCCCCAGCAGCAGCTGGGGCACCTTCCCCCTCGGGAGCTGCTCCTGCAGCAGCAGCTGTGGCAGTGCCAGTGGTTTCTGCTGCTGTGGCCGTGCTGGAGGTGCTGGTGGCATCCGCTGCAGCAGCTGGAGCAGATGTGGCTGCAGCTGCATCTTCAGGCTTTGTGCTAGAAGGACCAAAACCACCAAGAGTCACCTAGAGGCACGAGAACTTCATGACTTGAGGGAATGCTGAACTTTATGTAAGTGAATTAAGTTAATGAAGTATGAAATGAGGTCGAAAGAGTCTCAACAGCAGCAAACAATCAGCTCAGGGAAGTCAAAGCTTTACTCAGACTTCATACAGATCAATTATTTCAGTTCAAAATGAACCTAAAACACATTATTTGAGGGTTTAGAGATCATATTTACACATATATAGGAAAGAAAAGCTGCAGGAATTCAGATCTAAAGAGCAGATTCCATGTTTAAGCATGACACAAGTCTAAATGAACCCAAAGTTCAAAACATACCTGTTCTCTTCAGCTTTAATCATTGCTGGAGGAGAAAGGGGAAAAACAATTAAAATACAGCCTTAAAATAGTTTTAATATCTGAGAAAAATTCCTGTTAAACAATTAGTGATTCAATAAAGCACAGCTTGAAATATTTCTGCTACTGTTAGTGATTTTGTTCTTTGTGCCTCTCAGAGACTGAAATCAATGCAGACTAAACCAATATTTATATCCCTGGATATCCCATCTCTGTCCCTCTGTATCTCATCTCTCCATCCCTACATATCTCCTCCCTCCCTACATATTTTCTCTCTCTCTCCTCCCTCTGTATCTTGATAGACAGATATAACCTAAGTCCATTCCCCTCTTACCCTGGTTTCCCAAAGGAATACGGATTAGCCCAGATGCCTCCTGTGTTCCCCCATCAACCTGAAGCCCTCCAGAAATCCCAAAGGATCGGTGGCTTAGAGCCAAATCCTTCAGGGATTGCCCCGAAGGACTGGAAGCATTGACTGCTGCTAACACAGAGCAGTAGCTCTGGGCACTTAGCCCTGGACAACCCACAGGACCTCACATCCCAGTCCAGCTCCTCTTCAGGGACAGGAGGCTGCTGCCACGTAAGGAATAACGAAGGGGATGCTGGAAAAAGGGATGGGAATGAGCTGCTGAGCACACAGGACTGCTCCATACAAATCTCAGACTACACACAGCCTGTTTCAGTCACTAACCCAACTCCGACTGCTCTGCCCCCTTCTTTCGGCCAACTCACCTTCCAGATCCTCCAGCTCTTTGGGCTTTGCCCAGCGAGATTCCTTGGTTTGGGAATTGTAATAGTAAGGCTTCCCGGAGTCTGATTTATACTCTTTCCAGGGACACTTGGACAGCAGTTGCTAACGGAGAGAACACAAAGCATGGATCAGACCTACAGAGGTGATGTGCAATGGGAGACTGGCTGGAAGGGAGGCACAAGTAATGCCAAGGAACAGCTGCAGGATCAATAAATCCCGGGATTCATGGACTGCCCACGGAAAATCCTCCCTACTAACAAAGAAACACAGCAAATAAAAAGCTTATTTAAAGGACAGAGACGGAACAAAGCCAGTGCCTCAAGGAGCTCCAGGAGAGCTGCAGAGGGACTTGGGACAAGGGATTGAAGAACAGGACACAGGGAATGGTTCCCACTGCCAGAGGGCAGGGACAGATGGGAGATTGGGAAGGAATTCCTGGCTGTGAGGTGCTGAGGCACTGGAATGGATCTCCCAGAGCAGCTGTGGCTGCTCCATCCCTGGGAGTGTTCCAGGCCAGTTTGGATGGGGCTTGGAGCACCCTGGGCTGGTGGGAAGTGTCCTTACCCAGGGCAGGGGGTGGCACTGGATGATCCTTAGTGCTCCTTCCAACTCAAACCATTTGGGATTCTACATTCCTTATGTAACTAACAAAGAATGATACATTTTTAATCAGAAAAATATATCTAAACATGAGGAGAACCAAAGAGCTTTGCCCACTTTGCAGCCTCATGTTCCACCGACACAAGGAGCAGGACACAAATATTTTGGCACTATTTCTTATTCGAGTTTTCCTCCCATTGGGAAATAAATCTATGGGCAGATCTATCCCATCCTCCTGCATGAGTTCTGCTTGGAAATTCTTGGGTTCAACCTGCCTTTAGCTCACCTCAGCAGGTGTTTTGAGGTCATCTGGCTTCTCCCACGTGGATTGTTTCGTCTCGGTGTTGTAGTAATATGTTCTCCCATCAGGGGATTTGTGCTCTGTCCACGTGGATTTCTAGGAGAAACCAAAAGATTGCATGATGCCCGAGGTGGTATCAAAAGCCAGTCAGTAAGTGAGAGGCAAGTGGAAAAGAGCTGAACCTGCTTGGAGTGCTCCTCGGTGCCAGAGCTGGTGGTGGTGGCAGTTTGCTGGGCTGCACAGACCACGGGGTGTGTCGTCTGCGGGAGAAACAGGACAGAGCTCTGCAATGACACACTGCCTCACGCTCACCTCGCTACAACAGCCTCACTTACCAAGGGCAGCAGCCAGACAAGACCTTTGTGACCTTACATCTCTCCCACCCAGCAATCCATGGGAGAGGGAGGAGAGGGAGGAGAGAGGGAGGAGAGAGAGGAGAGGGAGGAGCGGGAGGAGAGGGAGGCTTCAATGCCCACAAATGAAGGAGATAGAACAGCTAACACCTAATTTAGCTATGAGCATTAATCACAGTCAGTCAAACCAGCAAAAAGCAGCTGTATATGATCAGAGAAACAAGAGAAGGTTTTGTTTCTCCCCTCCCAAGCCATGTTAGCACAGCACCACGTTGGCCTCACAGACTTCCAGGCCTCTGGCTGTCACACACCTGAGTTCCAGGAGGTGTCACACCTAAAAAACACACAGAAACATCATTAAAAAGAGGTTGGTTGCTTCATTTTTATATACAAAGACTCTGATTAATCAGTGTGTGAAAGACAAAATGCTCTGGGAACCAATGAAGATGTCAGTTAGTGAAATGAGAAATCACGTGGTACAGCAAAGTAGATTTTGTTCATATTTCCCCTGATTTTGACAAAACATTTTGAACTGATAACAAGTTTTTATACTCACCTACTTGTGCATCCATGCTGTTCACTCCTGGCTGCAGAAACAACCAACACACAGTTAGGGACTGAGTGCAACTGTAACCAGACCATCAATAAACACTCTCTATGTGTGTATGTATATGTGAGCTACATCCCCCCCAAACCCAGTGCTTCCTGCCCCTAAATTCTCTCCACTGCCTTAAACAGCAATTCCTAACTTCCCATCACCCTCTCAATTATTACTTCTCCCTTAAAGAAGCAATTAGGACCATCATTAGGCCTTCTGGGATAATTATGTGGCCTAAGTGGAGTGTGTTAGTGTTGCACTGCTGAGACTCCATTGTGCTCTGCTCAAACAAGCTCTTCCAGAAACCCTTCCTGGGATTCTTTCCAAGGGAAAAGGTGAACAGAATTGTAATGGTTTTCCCAGAAACAGAGTTGTGGATTTAGCTTCTCTAGGGTTGATCTTTGCTCTCTTGTATCAACTTCAGTCACAAACTCCTCAAGGGGAAAAGAAACTGGTTGAACAGCTACAATAAACCACATTGGATCAATCACATTTGATCCCTCAGGACTAAAAATATTTCAGCTGCATGAAGAAAACAAGAGCTGTCAGTGAAGCACTCAGAACCCTTCCAGCACACCTGCTCTCCTGCCTGTGGTAGCTTCCCCAAACTCCACTTGCATGTGCTGCATGTTTTCAGGGCACTAAACTGACCCAAAGAGTCACCTTTAGGAATGAACCTCTCCAGTCACAGGTGAACTGCTGTGCACATCCCAAACCAGAGTGTGAACCTGCAGGGGAAAGGTTGGGAGCACAACCATCCCTGGACAAACCATTCCAGACATTGGGACCGACCGCCCAGGTGGCCTCAACGAGCTCTGGGCCACATTGCACTCCTGGAGAAGGTACAAAATTGTCTCTGGTGGCAAATAACCAGTCAACAATCTCATACACCTGCACAAAGGTGTGAGGTCCTTTCACCTAAGGCAGCTGAGCCCTTTGCCAGGCTCACTCTCCTCCTAGGTACTCCTGACCCACACTTAATTCCAGCACAATTTATCCCCAGTTCTGTGCTGGAAAACCAAATGATCTAACTTGTTGGCAAAAGATGGAAAAACACCCATTAAAATTCAGAATGGATGGATTGTAGCACTGATCCAGATCCCAGTGACATCACATTTCACTCCTAACTACTTATTTAGCATCTTTGTGACCTTTAGCTCCTCTGGATCACACTTAATCTGCTCCCACTCATCTTATTTGGGAGATGAATTAATTCTTTCAGCAAACTCTTAATAAAAAAAAACCAAAAAAGTTTAGTGTTTTTCACTAGAGACTTGACCTCTTCCCTCTCCATTTCCACCCAAACACCCTCCCCACCTCCAGATTTCAGCACTTCCACCCTGCAAAGAGCAATACCTTTGCAATTTGCATTTTTAATGGCTAATCACAAAGAGCTTGGAAAGGGAAGTGAAACTCACAGGGACTGTGGGCTGCATGGCAGCCTGGGACATGTGAGACATCATCATTCCAGGCATCACGGACTGCATCATCCCAGGCATCTGCAGGGAAACAGCGTTTTACATCCACTCTGGCACCTCTTCAACACAGAACCACAGAATTCAGGGCTTGGAATGGACCTTAGAGCTCACCCAGCCCCAAGCCCTGCCCTGGGCAGGGACACCTCCCACCAGAGCAGGTTGCTCAAGGCTCAGCCAACCTGGCTGTGAACACTGCCAGGGTTGGGGCAGCCACAGCTCCCTGGGCACCCTGGGACAGGGTCTCACCACCCTTAGAGTAACAAACTTTTTTCTAATATCTAACCTAAACTTCCCCTCCTTCAGTTTGAACCCGTTGCCCCTTGTCTTGTCACTGCAGTTCCTAACACAGAGTCCCTCTCTGGCTCCTTGTAGACCCTTCAGGTGTTGAAAAGTTGCTCTGAGGTCTCCACACAACCTTCTCCAGGCTGAACAGCCCCAACTCCCTCAGCCTGTCCTCACAGGGAGATGCTCCAGTGCTCTGAGCAACTTTGTGGCCTCCTCTGCACTTGCTCCAACAGTTCCACGTCCTTCTTTTGTGAAGATTCAAACCCCTCGGATCACTGACCTTCCCATTTCCCAGCTGCTGTGTGACATCCCCACCTCAGCCATCCCCTCAGAAAACTGCCTTACCTGCCCCATTGGGGGTCCTCCCATGGGGGGCATCATCTGGGGCATCATGCCATGGGGAACTGGGGGCATGTTGGGTGGTCTCTGCCCCATGGGGTGCATCCCCATCGGGGGGTAGTGGGGCATGCCTGGGTGTCCCATCTGGAAAACAGCAACAAATGGGAAAAGTCAACATGAGGGCAACTACCTCAACCCCACGCCCAGGAGTAGGAACAACACAGGAATGCTCAGCACTGGGCTGGGAATGATCTGGACACTTTGGGTGGATGTTGCAGAACATGCAGCAACATTGTCCACTCTTCCAGGTCCTCCAGAGCCACAGAGCAGCAGCTTTAACCAACACATTGGCAATGTCAGAGTCATCCACGTGAAAAATCACCTCCATCATCCTTCACCTTAGGGTTTCTCACAGGAAAGCACACTGGATTTGGGGATACAGCTCCTTCCATGCACTCATGCTTAACACAAGCAACCCTGAGGCACAGGCGTCAATCACCTAAGTGTCTTCTGCTCCTGATGTCCAGATCAGGAGTAGCTTCCCCATCAACCCTCATCCCTGTCTCTGTGCTTCCCTAAAACCCCAAATCCTGGTGCTGCTAAGACTTGGTACAGTCAAACTGTTGGGAAAAAAGCACGGACAGAGACTTTTTCCTTGTTTTCTTTTATTTACCATACCCACTCGGAGCTCTCTATTCCAGGCAGGAGCAACAGCTCTGAGAGCACCTGGAGCTCATTCCTGGGCAGTATTTTACTCTGGAGAACACGGAACTTCATGGGCACACGCAGAAGTATGTTGGGAAGGTGAACTGGTTTATGGATATGAAAACTATGGCTACGAAAATTCCATTTATAAGGGTCCTTGGCAGGGGAAAAAAAAAATAACACTTCTCTTTGATCAAGGAATGGTTTGGTTGGAAGGGATATTAAGGATCATCTTGTTCCAATGGGCAGGGACACCTCCCACCAGCCCAGGCTGCTCCAAGCCCCATCCAGCCTGGCCTGGAACACTCCCAGGGATGGAGCAGCCACAGCTGCTCTGGGCAACCTGTGCCAGTGCCTCAGCACCTCACAGGGAAGAGTTTCTCCCTAATCTCTCACCTAGCCTGACTCAGGACAGGCAGTGACAGTTGCTCTGTTTGCTGAGCCTCAGGTGCTGTCAGGTAGCTCAAGGTAGAAGTGCTTCCTCTAAGTCTCCTCTGACCTTTCTCAGTGTTATCATGTTTTCCTGTACTTTTGGAGGACTTGCCACCCCAATGTCACCTGTCACCAACAGCCCCTCGCTGCCAGGGCAGGAATGGCACTGAGCTCCCCTCAGCCCCACACACAATCCCAGAATAGCTGGGGTTGGAAGGGACCTCTGGAGATCACCCAGTTCAACCCCCTGCCCAGGCAGGGTCACAGGAGTAGGTGACACAGGAACATGTCCAGGTGAGTTTAGAATGTCTCCAGAGAAGGAAACTCCATACCCTCCATGGACAGAAGTTAGTCACAGACCCTCACAGCTCTTCCTGCCCCACCACAAAGAGGCATGGGCAGGGCTGAGAGGGCAGTGTGACCCACCTGGGTCTGGGTCCATGTTCCCACAGGGGCAGTGTGACCCACCTGGGTCTGTGTCCATGTTCCCACAGGGGCAGTGAGGCCCACCTGGGTCTGTGTCCCTGTGTTTCTCCAGGGCTGAGGGGCAGTGAGACCCACCTGGGTCCTGTGTCCTTGTATCCTCCCAGGGGCAGCATAACCCACCAGAGTCTGTGTCCCACCAGGGCTGACAGGAGCACTGTGACCCACCTAAGTCTGTGTCCCTGTGCCCTCCCAGGGGCAGCACAACCCACCTGGGT